TTATAAATCATTTAACTAGTATCTCATCATCTTCTTTTTTACTATGATAACTGACAGCTCCTTTTCTCCAGAAGAATTGAATTCATACAAAGAAAACATCCAATCAACATACTTTATTTAAAAGATATAAAGACTAGTTTAGCATATTGATTTAAAAACAACATATCTTATGAATAAATCATAACAAGTTTTAAGATAAGTGTAGCCAGGCTGTGCCTCTCACAGTGGCAGGGTGGTTAATGTAGCTGGCTATTTTACTATTACTTTTTCGTGCATAACAAATTGTTGCTTCATCATTTAATAACATTACATGCATTAAATAACACTACATAGTGCATTAAATAACACTACATAGTGCATTAAATAACACTACATAGTGTATTAAATAACACTATATAGTGCACAAAGTGTATTAAATAATGCTACATAGTTAATTAAATAACACTACATAGTGCATTAAATAACACTATATAGTGCATTAAATAACACTACATAGTGTATAAAATAATGCTACATAGTGTATTAAATAACACTACATAGTTAATAAAATAACACTACATAGTGCACTAAATAACACTACATAGTACATAAAAAAACACTACATAGAGTATTAAATAATGCTACATAGTGTAGTAAATAACACTACATAGTTAATTAAATAACACTACATAGTGCATTAAATAACACTACATAGTGCATTAAATAACACTACATAGTGCATTAAATAACACTACATAGTGCATTAAATAACACTACATAGTGCATTAAATAACACTACATAGTGCATTAAATAACACTACATAGTGCATTAAATAACACTACATAGTGCATTAAATAACACTACATAGTTAATTAAATAACACTACATAGTGTATTAAATAACACTATATAGTGCATTAAATAACACTACATAGTGTATTAAATAATGCTACATAGTGTATTAAATAACACTACATAGTTAATTAAATAACACTACATAGTGCACTAAATAACACTACATAGTACATAAAATAAAACTAAATAGTTAATTAAATAACACTACAAAGTAAATTAAATAGCACTACAAAGTAAATTATATAACACTACATAGTGCATTAAATAACACTACATACTGCATTAAATAACACTTCATAGTGCATTAAATAACACTACATAGTGCATTAAATAACACTACAAAATGCATTAAATAACACTACATAGTGCAATATTTAAATTTGTTTTCAATAAACTTATGAACCCAGGAACCCAACTCGAAACATTATGACATGATATTATTATAATTGACATGGCATCTGCCTCGAAATGAAAGATCAAAATTCAAATGAAAATTCAAAATCAAAGATAGCCATCAAAAAATTGCTAATGTCACTTTACAATTTATGCCTTATAAATACATGATGTGTAGATCATAATTCTGATTTCCTTTAAACATGAACATAACATTAAAATTTAATAACATAAATTTCAATAACATTTGATACCCATGTGTTCAACAGATATAATATAATAATGTAAAAAAAAAAATTGCATTTTTAAATTGCAGTCTTCAATATTTTTTGGCACTATTTTTGGCCACCGAGCGTCAATTTTCTGAAGTTCAATACAACGTTATATTTCGCTAATCGATTTGTTAAATGAAGTGTACCAAGATGATAATACCTCAATCGTTCGACATGACAATGTGTGGTAGTCATACAAATAAAAACCGCCTTGATCTTCAAGACCCGATTTGAGAAGTCAGAGCAGTTCTTTATTCTCTTTTAAAAGACGGTTGACCCCCACCCAAATGAGATGATTGTGGTAATGACTAGTTTTCCGAAGGCCTCTATTCGATACAGGAATGTTGACAAAAAAATTAATTTCTAACGCCGTTATTAACATTATTTGTGATATTGCATCATAAATATGGTCTAATTTCATACTTAAAAATATCATCGCAGATGCAAATCAGAAATTTGATCGAGAGTCCGCGATTAAATCGGCACTTTGTTTACGGTCTAATAATAACTTTCTATCTTGAATGTTATCATGAAGGATTGTGTGACATAGAAAAATAACGTAGTTCCGCCTTGCAGCATACGTGATGACAATATTCACGGCTGCTTTTTTGTAACATATAATTATTGTATTTCCTTTCATGGAAAGTTGATAACGAAACAAATTGTACAAAAAGTTATGAAGTATTGGTCTAATATCAATAAGGTATCATAGCACTGATCTAATATGGAAAATTAAAAGATATCGTAACTTTGAAAGGTGGAAATATCTGCCACGTGTTAATATTCTAAGATTTGAACACAGGCAGAGGTACTCATTTTTCTGAAATGCCAGCCTGCAAACAAAAGAATCTGACAGAATTCAAAACTTTATGCTTTATTTGATTAATTTGTAATAAAAGACTCCTAAAACTTACAACTGGCCAGTCATATTCAATGCATGGCATGCCAATTATACCAATTCAGAAGGGTATAGTTACATAAGCATTAAACAGCATGCGCCATAACCATAAATAAAAACATTTTTTACTTAAATTCTAGATGTCTCTTTTACATCTGCGCCACCATCCAAACGCAACAGATTTTAACCCAAAAATTATCATTTAATCGTATTTCAGATTTTGCTTAACAGAAAAACAAAAAGCCAGGTCTCTGCAAGAACAAGCATTGATGATGAATATGACAAGACTGAAGTCTACCTCTTATTAAAAAATCAACTCCCAATTAATAATCAATTATGTTTTTTTACTTGAAATTTACAGTTCTTTAAGTACAATGATCAAGTAGATGAAGATTTGGCTAAAATTAATTGCTTTTCATTCTGATCTATTACTTATAAACAATGACATAGGAAATTTATTGCAAAGACAAAAAGAAAAGTTCAGCGATTGATCCATAAGCTATGAAGATTTATTTGCATATATGAAGGGATTCATTCATCATAATAGATAAAACAGTACAGATACAAATGAATAAGCATTTTGGAAAAAAAAGATCTACTGCAAAGACACATTCCCTACTGGGTGTTTGCCTTCATTGGTAAGCCCCTATAATTGATATTTATATGATATATCTAAATGGATATAAAGTAACTAAAAGGTAATGGTGGCTGATATTGCATCTCTGGCCCCTTGCTGCTTTGAGTTTAAATCTTGCTAAGGACTATACATGTACAATATTTCTCAATCCCTGAAGACTCAAGAGTCTATAATAATAGTTTACATAAAATTACATCAAGTTCAAATAAGGCTGCCTGTAACTGAAATAATGCAAGAAAAGGGAACTGATATATTTTTTTCTTGGTTAGGTTTTAAGATGATCCTGTAATTTTCATATTGGCATTTTCCTGCTTTAAAACTAGAAGGAAAACATCAGGTGCCCCTCCATGCATCAGTAAAGGCATGAGTGGGCACTTAAGTAGAACCATTCAAGCTCTAAAAGCTAGATGGAAAAATCTTTCTCACATGAAAGAATCTAAAGGCTAAAACAAAGCAGCGAAAGGCCAGCGGTTTGTAATCAAAGACGTAAACAACTTAGCCATGGATGTGCCTCACTGTTAGTGAACTAGGGTATTTTCCCACCAATAAATGTTACTATATTTATCAAAATCTTATTGATTTGAAACTGAAACCAACTGGCCAGCAAAAATATTAAATAAATCATAAGAGTAAAGCCTTGAAAATAATCTATAACCATATTTCTTCATTTCTTCTATTTGCTTTACAGACATTGGTCTCATAAATTTAAAGAAGAAAAAAAAGGGTATACCTATCCTATACTATACATTATATTCAAATCTATACTGTAGATCTAAAAAACCTAACAATGAAGATAGACTTTTGATGACCTATTGATGTAACCCAAGTCGCTCTGAAGTCAAAACCAGTGTTTATAGAGTATCATTAGACAATGGGTGGCATTACATACTTCTAACTTTGATATCCTCTGTTTGAAATACCTGGGTAGATCTTTTTTTTTTAAAAATGGTAAGAAATACTTTATGGCTTAAATATATGATATGTGAAGCTGGATATATTACCATAACAGAAACTTTAAGCTGACCTATTTTTTTTTAAACAATATAATTATTCTAAAAATAGGTATACAAAATGATAGTGTATAATCCATTGTTAAAAAAACAACATTTTTCTCCATCTTTAAACTGATATGAATCATGTATGTTTCAATGGCTATGAAATGAAAGAAAAAATTACATCCCTTTTACCAATCAACAGAGAGTACCATATATGAACAACACTGTTCATGAATTTATTTGTTCATAACAAAAATATAATATATTATGATTCCAATTTTCAAGAATTTTATTGATGTAAATTAAGGGGTTACAGTAAAACACTTCTACATCAGAAGTGTAGATAATATACAGGATAGAACAGACAAAGAGTGATCACATATATCACCCATAGCATATTATAAATGCTCAGGTGAGCTGAAAAATATCTAACATATTATCAACAATACAAAGACTACTCAATCATTTATATTTTTGTCTTTTCATCAATGTTTTCTTCTTTTTTTTCTCCATTTAAGAATATCAGAGTATGAATTATGGCAATATGGTGCCAGTGTGTTCATACTTTACTTTAATGCTTATTCTACACAAGACAATACCAATTTCTCTTTAATTTGCAGTTGTGGGAAAAAAAATGGCTTTACAGAAAAGATCCTCATCAGAATTCTTATGAAGAGGAATAAGTGGTATATGGATGGTACAAAACTTGATTATCAACATGTTCTCAGCAGAAAAGTTCACAGACTTAAGGTTATCAATAAGTACTACTAACTTTACTGGTGACGGTAGTGTCCATCCAAGTATTCAATGTATAAAACCATCTGACTGGCCGATTTTTGTTCAGTTTTGAAACTGATTCATAGTAACTCTTAATATCATTAGTGGTCTGTACTTATTGTTTCAATAAATCTAAAACCAAGTGACTAGAGAACTAGTTCCATTTGTTTTATTATGGTTATTAAATGACCTACCTTCAGACCTGCCCCCTGTATCTGTGCTGGAGTCTTTCGTTTGAGTCTTGGCCGGATGATGTGCTGTGGTGTGGTGTCTTTCACCACCTGATCCAGCATCCTTTGAGGTGACGCGGTGCTCACGACCTCCTCCGTGATGCCCACGATACCCCTCTTCTTGTGATGACATCGTCATCTAACACCATTGGAAAATTAGGCTTGCATCTGAAAACATAAATATCAAAATACAAAATTTAATTTACTCAAACATACACGTTTTACTGTAGCATAGATTCTGTAGCAGGACAAGCATCTTTCACTGAACACTGTTGGTTCAAATCCTGCAATAGTTAGGATGACAGAAAAATTTAAGCAGTGGTGGCAGTATATTGTATAGTATTTAAATGCAGCCAGTAGTAAAGAACTCATCAGTGAATTTTAAGCAATAACATTTATTAAAATCTGGTAATAAAACAGTAGCTGGCCAATAATCCAGAAATCACCAGCTAATATGACTAAATTACTGCATTTTATCAACTTATCTGCATTATAATACACCTACATGGAAATATGCATTTTTGATAATTAATACTTACTATAAATCTTTCACAAAGTATAATAGACATGTTGTTCTTTTATAATTGACATTTTGAGCAATATTTTGCAAATATATATAATTAAAACTTGTAACAGATTAAAAAGATTCTTACATTTCATTTTTTGTAATTATCTATTTTCACACCATGTGCACAGTAATGAACTGCTAAAATCTGATGTTGTTGTATAAATTTCAAGTTTTACTAGAGTTTAAAAATATGGAAAATTGTACACCATTAAATGGATGGTACAATGCCTTCAAAATGTAATAAATCAATTTATTTGGATGAAATGTCATCAATTTTTGTCTGTCACTGTACAAAATGAATGTTATTTTCTCTTCCTTTTTTTACCCTGCTCAATGTTCCTACCTTTTTTGGCAGGTGCTCCTTTGACATTGCGTCACCAAAATTATAATAAACTGTCAACAAAAACATGAAATTTATGAGCATAAAACCTACACCGAGAATGCAAAAATGTCTTATTTTGTCATTTTGTTAAGTGGTTAACTTTTATAATTTGCGGGCTTTCAACACCATACAGCGGGTCTAAATACCACCAGTACTTAGCAAGGCACAAGGCCGAAAGATCCCTGAAGCCTTATGTTTTAATATGACATTAATTATCAGAAAAATTTAAGTTTTTTATTTTGACATGTATGGAATTTACTCTGGACTGTTTGAAAGTTTAGGCATGACACTGTGACACTGTCTAATATTGAAAATGACACCAATCATCCAAAAAGCATGTTTTTGGATTAGTCAAACTAATTGTACTCAAAAGTCATAATATACCAAGTTATTTTGGTATATACATAATATGAGCAATAATCCCAGCCTCTAATGTCCCGCTTACAATATAGACAGTACCTTTCCAACCCAGAAATAACAACAAAAGTATCTCTGTCCAGACGTCACATAAATTGATTATTCAGTTCAGTAAGGTTATGATACAATTTGATTTAAAATTCAAAATTATTGGTCTAATATGGCTTAATTCACATTAATTTTGAGTATTTTGTGTAAATTCTTTATTTTCGTCAAAATGATCTCACTGCTACACCATCTTTAATAATAACTAATACTTATACATATGTTTGCATAATGCATATATCAAACCTGTCACATACATTGTTACAGCAAGAATTTATCATGATTTAATGATTATTTATTTGAATAAAATGCCCTTTCAAATCCACTATTCAAAAGAAATCAGACAAGAATTTTTTTTCCTTTACAAACGCTTCATTTAACTTATCCCTTTTCCTACAAAGAAAATTGCATAAAATGACTTTCTTTCAATACGGATTCTATTTCTTTACTTTTAAAAACCACTTGAGTACCGCAAAACTGAAACATGGCTTGTTCAAGTAAAACGCGTTTAAAAGTTGTATCATACCTTTCATTTAGAAATACATTTTAGACGGTATTCAATTTTAAGTTACAATGTCCCCCTCTTACGGCTTCAACAAGTTTTTATCGACTTTGGCAAACAGAGAAATGAGAAAATCAACGAATAAAAAAATTTCATTCACGCTCGTGAAAAGATTCTCACCTTGTTAGAGAAACGAAAGTGGGGTTAATTTGTACCCGCGGAAGTCCTTATTTCCTTGCTTCTATTCAAAAGTGTTACTATAGAAATGCTCATACCTAAGAAATCAGCTTGACTTCCCGACACATTATAAGTTATTAATCGCATGATGGCAAATATTTGAACTAGCCCAACGCCTTTCACACCCAAATTTTTTTATCCTCATCATGTTCAATTGAATTAGTAAAACAAATTTACATTGACCACATTTTTTTTTTTTACATTTCTGCCCAAATAATTACTTTTGTAGCCAATTTTGAAGATATTTGACATTTATATTTAAATAATACTGAACAGTGAGTGACTCTTTCATACGACTTGGTTTGAGCATGCTGGATTTTTGTACTTGACTTGTAATAAAAAAGTACCATCAATTAAACTAAAGAATTAACTGTTTTCAAGCTAACTTTTCTGATTTATTAATTAGTTGTTAAATTTATTCACATTAATATGTTGTTAAGTTTGACAATATTAAAAGAATATATACTTGAAAATATGTCTATTTAAAACTTGCATATCATATTTTTTGTAGTTTGTTTTGCTCCTTCTTTTGTATCAAAAGAGGCTCCACACTTAAGTTCGCTCCATAGTCTTCATTTTCTGTGCTACCTAACAATGAACTGTTAATTCCGATATAGTGCAGCTATTGGGATCCATGCTCAACTATGTTTGTTTTTGTATAGGCACTTAAACTAAATTCATAATTTTGCAAGTGGATCATCAATCAGTGTGGAAAGAAATTGTCAGTAATTCTTTGGCAATGTGACAGAAATTGGATATAACTATATCACCAACTGACTCTTGTGAAAACAATGATAATACATGCATATAATTATATATTATACATGTATATAGTATATTAACCCGATTTTACTGTAGAAAAAATGGGAGAAAATATTAAAAAATGCCACTTTTTTCTTCTTTTTTTATTTCAAGGTATATTCTTAATGTAAACATTATAGGACAACACTAAAACCCTTATTTCAACTTGATGACACATATTATAAATGAGCAGAATGTGCGAATCATTAAAAAAAAGCTGCCATTAAATTGATGCATTAGAAGGTCTGCGATTTCTCAATCTACAGCAAGAAACACCCCTCTGTATAGGTATGAGTTGCCTCTCCAATGTCCAAAACCATGTGATGCCCCTGGTATGCCACTGGCTTTTATTTTATTTTTTCTTTGCTGTTAAGCCACTCAAACCTTTTTTCGTTGCTATAAGCCATTGAAACCTATCATATGTTTTTCTTTGCTGTAAGCCACTTAATAAAAGGTATAATTATAATTAACCCTTGTAATAATGAGTCAAAGAATTTCAGTTAAAAACTTACAAATCATTTATTTGCTAGACTGAATCTAGGAAGGTTTTGTAACCAAGAAAGAAATACATAAGATAATGAAAAATACCATTTTATGACAATTTTAGTATATTATGACCTTGAATGTCGCTCCTTTATGACCCATAATTGGCAGTTTTGCGGCCTTATTTGTCACATGAAAGAGTTTGTTCGGCCTGATCATTTAATACAGCAAGATCAACACATTTACATAGTGAATATAACACCATTACTGACAAAATAGACCAATAATTTGCCATTAATAATACATTTAGTAGATCATTGATAATAATAATTTTATTTTTTATTTGAATGCACACAAACTAGAACAACTATTATTACACATTGGTAGCACTTTTTTCAACATTTTTCTGGCTGTATTTCAGAAAAAAACAACAGAAAACTTCTTTTTAAAATTCTCTCCCCCAACCCCTCATCCATCAAATGTATCATCAACATACAAGAAATATCATCAAAATTATCAGAATCACTTGGGGAATTTTTCATAATCATCTTTTTATTATTTCTTATACCATTATACTGCTGGCAACAATCATTCATCAGTTTTAAGACTGTTGTCATATCATCATTGTTATCATCATAATCACCATCATCATCAATGTTCTTTCATCATTAACAACTCTATCATCACCACCATCAACTATATCACCATTATCATCAACATCACATCTTTAATCATCATCATCCTCATCATCAACAACAACAACATTATTCTCTCCATTGAATCATCAAAGTTAAAATCTTCATCTCCATCTTTATCATATATGAACATTTTCTTAATTAATAAATCCACCCACAAACATTTAAACTCCCACAACCCTGCCTGACCCCCACACTCCTTGTCTGACCCCCATTACCAGGGTAAAATTCTTTTCCTCAAATTACTGGCCTTGATTGGCAGAATAGATTTAAGTATAATGGCCATAAATCCTATTAACACAGCATTATTTTTATGTTTAATGCTTCAACAAACAGCATGTTAAACATATACATACACACATTTTCATCCTGATCCTCCCCAATTTAAATTGTCCTCCCTGGAGAGATATGACCCCATAGAAAACACATAGCTTCTAATCCCCTTTTTATCAAAATTGTTTGAATTTTATTATCAAAACTATAGCAATATAAAAAAACCTCAAGATGTGGAAAAAAGGTTGAATTTTTGTTCTCACAAATACAGTTTAACCTGTGTTAGTCAGACCACCTCCAAAAAATGGCCATCCTGTAAATAAAGGCAATTCTTCAACAACCTTTCATTGATTAAATAGAACATTATAACCTCCAAATAAAGATCACTTATCTATAAAGGTCATGTTTAGTCTCTCTTTTGAATGGCCTTTATTCCCAGGTTTGACTGTAGAAAGAAAACCGTGTTATTTGCGCATTTTCAAAGGTCTATACAGCTTAGTAAGCCAATCAAAAATAAATTTTTTACATGCATATAATATTCATTTATAAGGATATATTGTGCATACAAAAATAAAATAAGTCATTGTGACATTATGGTGACATCTAGATGCATGTCATATCTATGAATAATGTGACATGACATCTCTAAATGTCATGTTGCAGCATCAAAATGTGGGGTTGTTATCTAAATCAATTTTTATAACTTATGTCATCAAAACATTTATTTCAATAAAAAAAAAGAACTTGTGTAATAATAATTATATA